GGGGGGGGGGGGGGGGGGGAGAAGAGATTCTGCCCCAAATACATTCATCATCCAACATTTACTATTTTAGACTACAAGACTAAGATTTAGCCTGGCATTCATATTATTGTTTGCATTCTTCTCCTCTTCCTCCAATTTTTACATTAGGAGCTGAAGTTTCATACAGATGACAACTTATTGATATCACCATTCTCCAGAACTCTCTACATGTAGCAAAACATATGCACGCTGTAGTCTGGGGCTGCCTGCTCCAGGAGACCCAGAGCAGTTCCAGATTAGACCTATCAACCAAATGCATGTGGAGAAAGCAAGCTAAAGATGAAGACGTTGTTTATCCCACACATCTGCATTCTGCTGTGCATTCACACAACACTTCCAAAACGAGTGTTACATAGATTTGTTATTTATCTGTGAGTGGATGTGTGTGGGTGAGACAGCGATACACAATGTGATACAGAAGGTGTGACAATGTTCAGCCCAGCACAGAAAGGAACGCCATCTTTACAACCCAATGACACCATCTTCTTAATCCAACACTGAATTGAGCTCAAGTTTAAGACAATTCAGCTGCAGATAAAAAGCAGGTGTGAGCTGCCTGTGCTAATCAAGAAAGATTCATCTCCAAACAGATGTGTCAGCACTGATTGGATGCCACAAAACTGTAATGTCAAAACACTTGTCAAGATTGTCAGGAGATGTAGCAACACTGTTTCAAATAACCTTGATGCACAAGTCCTGCATGTATCCAGTGGGCTTAGAGCACTTTAACCCACACACATTCATACCAATTTTACCTTCCTCATACATTTCTTCTAATAAATAGGCTTCTGCTCTGTCTTTTAGGGCATTCACATTGGATGGTTCCAGGTGCAGAAGTTCTGTGCAAGCTTTTATGGCTTCAACAGACCGCTGATCCTGAAAAGGGAAAGAAAAGGAGGTTGATGTATGTTGTATTTAACTATTTTCTTAGGCGAGAGAAAAAAAAAAAAATGTATTACACGTGTGTGTGTGTGTGTGTGTGTGTGTGTGTGTGTGTGTGTGTGTGTGTGTGTGTGTGTGTGTAAAAATATATATTACCTTAGAGAAACAGTGGCAGATTCTTTCTTTGGCATGAGTAGCATAAACTGGGACATTTGGCTCAGTTTTCATTACAGATTCATATTTACTGATGGCATCCGCGTACCTGTTTTAATAGAAAAAAAATAACCCAAAACATTCTAAAGCAGTAGTATCAGATTTGTATCAGTTTTTCCCCAGCCATGAAATGTATGTACTGATACAGATTTGCTACGCTGAAGAAGTGTCATCAGGGATCTTGTTCAGAGAGTTACAAGTCCCTCTCAAAATGCATCCCCCATCAAGTAGCCTCAGCGACTTTGTCTAGGCTGAAAAAAGACAGAAAATTCTTGAGAAATTAAAGAGTTATATTCCCTACCACCTCTACGGGGGCTCAAGCCTGGAAGAGAAAACTTGTCTGGCTGGCTTGTTCTGCCCACTTCTGTACAACCAATTTGTTGTTATAAGCCCTTCCCCTGACCAGAGGCACTACTCAGCACAGGGAGGAGTTTTCCTACTTTTTCAGAATTCAAATAGGTCCAGGTTTTGGACAATTTATTTGGCGTACACCCAATGCAGGCTGGTGTGCCTTATGTAGTCAATTTATTTGGCGTACACCCAATGCAGGCTGGGGTGCCTTATGTATTGCATTTTTTTAATGCACTAGAACTGGAACACATTAGGAGAATGTATTCCTAGGTTAGGAGAAACATCGATTCCTAACCTGGAACAGATAGAGAGGTAGTGAAATCATTATTACTGGACATAAGTGCGGATTTGACAGACAACTGGCTGGAATAGTTGCTTTGAGCAGGAGGTTGGACTAGATCTTCTGAAGTCTGTTCTAGCCCTATTTTTCTTTGATTTTAAGGAAAATGGGTATTGGGCCTGGAGCTCCTTATGTCTGGTAGAACAGGGAGACAGCCCACCCCTTTCCCTGCCCTGCTACAAGTATAAGGCAGGTCCCAGGAACAAGGCTGCAGTCAAGGAATAGAGAGTGTCTGATGGCAAACCTCCATCAGATACATCAAATTACAACTTTAAGCAAGTGTGGTCTAGCTAAACTATGTTCCTAGCATTTCTCTTCCCATAGTGTCAGGAGAATACTCCTTTGGATGTTGTTGTGCCTAAAGAGACTCCAGAACAAGGAGCATGGCACAGATAATTCCAGTGAAACAAATTTAAAATTAAACTTTGATAGATAAATGAAAATATTCATCCCTAAACTGGTGAGCAGTGCCTACATTTTGCAGCACAAACACTAAATCATCTATACCAGGAGTGGTGGCCAACCTGCAAAATGCATGTCCCAAGTGACACAGGCATAGTGTCACTTGGGAGATGTGAGTGCATAAGAGTGAGATGCATAAGCACTAGGCACTCAAGAGAGGCACTAAGATGGAGATGGGGATGAGAGCACTCCATGGAGCAAAGCAAGGGCAGGACACTGGAGAGGTGTCAGGTGTCACAGCCAAGAGCCAAGCTAAACCCACAAATTCAGAGCTTTGGATTCTTACTCGCCATATACAACTGAGACTGTTTCGGTGCTAAGGAAGGGTTAAAGCAGCTCTTTGTGAAACCTAGTCCTGCGGCATCATCCTGACCCCATAATCTACCCGGCCAGAGGCTAAAGATCCCCACCTCCATTCTGGCACCATGGTCCAGGCTACCAGGTATGCCTCCGGGCAGCAGGGATTAGAGCAGCACTCAAGGAGTGGACTGAGTATGAATTGTGGCACACCTGCCAAAAAGGTTGTCCACAACTTGATCATCAGCTCCTGTAGTACTTAGGCACAGTAGAGATGGATTAAGGATGACAATCCCACTCCTCTGTCCCATAGGAAGAAGTTACTACACACACACACACACACACACACACACACACACACACACACACACACAATATTATATGTAAGACAGCAACATGATGAAGGATGATTCTAAAAGTAGACGTATAACAGTTTACAAGGCTCAAGTACTTACTCTCTTTCTTCAAGAATAATGATAAACCATAATATTTTATTTATAGGCAGCAGAATTTTTATTTGCAAATATGCTGTGATCTCCACATTTAAATGCTGATTCATTAGAATGTGTTATACAAGAGATAAACACTAAAACTAACATCACTGACACTCCAATTTACTAGTGAGATGAATAACCACGTCAAGCTTTCCATAGAGACCATGCCGTAAGCAGATAATTACTCAAAAAGCTTATTGATTTCCTTTTTATTTATCAGCAACTTTGCTGATAATGAAACTTTATTTCCTTTGTCACTTTCGCAGTACTGTCAACTAAAATGGTGTTCTTAAACATGCATCCCCATCAATAATAGGAAATGCACACTTGAGAATTAAAAGTAATCTAGATTTTATACTAAAAAAAAAAAAATCTTACAACAATTAATTTTAAATCTGGTTAAAACAAAGGTGGCTTTTCATTTATTATTTTGCATAGCCTCTAGCAAAGCTGTGGCTATTTACTTGCCAATAAAACATACCAAACTGAGATGAGGCAAGCAGGAAGAATTTAGAGAATAAAAATCATCACCTCAAGAGCTGGGATGGGTGGCAGAAACTCCTAGTAGATCAGCCTATACAAAGTTAACAGAATTGATTTTTATTAAATCAAAAGATAAGACGCCATAAACACCACTGACCTCACCTTATCTGTTTTATGATGGGAGCAAAATAAAAAGTCAACAAGACCATAGTGACTAGGGAGGCATATGGGTGAGACGGAACATCCAGGAAGGCCTGACTGCTACTGAGGGTACACAATTTAGCAGTTATTTAAATAAAATCTGGTGGCCAAGCTCAATATTTTAGCCAAAAAATAATGCAAAATAGATATAAAAAGACAGCCTCCAAATCTGTGATTTTAATTTGTTTAGAATGAATCATAACACAGCAGTATTAGATTAGCACTTACCTTCCCTCTTTTATAAGTTCTTCTGCTGATATGATCTGCTTATTAAGTTTTTTGACTTGTTTATAGTGAGAAAAACATGGTTTATGGTCTTGGTCAAGTTTCAGGCATTCTCGGACTTCACTTTTCACATAGGAAAAAGAAACAGTATAAGATTTCATATAGGAAACAGAACACAAATTTTAACAGCAATTTAAATAACAATAGATTTGCTGCACTGCATTCTCTCTCCTGCACTCAAGACAGTATTACCCATGTGTGAAATGTAAAAAGGGAAACCCTCCTGAATTTACAGCTTTTTTATTACTTTACATTGCCAGAAATTTATACTCAAAGTAAAGTTGCACTTATGAAACTGATCTGCTATTCTACAGCACATACTATTGCTTTGCCCAGCATTTATGATGACTGTTTGAGACAACTAACTGTATCCACGATAACTTGTTTTCTAGTATGATCCTAACTTTCACGCTATGCCAAGGCTGCTTGATATAAAGGCATCATGCTCTTTCTGAACTCTGAACTAGGGCTTCAGCTAGTTTGGAGATTCTTCCCTTGGAAGAAGATGTATACCAGACTTTTTTTTCAAACCAATTGAAACTGTCTGGATTTTCTTTATTCTCACTCATCAGGTTCCACCTGTTTCTGTATGTTCATGGGTTTTTCAACTAAAGACTGCCCATGAAACATTCCCTTCAAATACATTGATAAGTGTCTTCAAATACCTCAGAGGCAATTATAGTGAGAATGGAGATAGGCTCTTCTCTATGGCTGTAGGGGAAAGGACTAGGAGGAATGGCCTCAATCTGCAGCAGGAGAAATTAGGTTAGCAATTATGAGGAACCTCTTGACTATGAAGGTGGACAAGCACTGGAACAGGCTATTTAGAGAAACTGTGGCCTTTCCATCCTTGGAAGTTTAAAGATCTGGTTACATAGAAACATGTTTGAGATAATTTAGTCAAGGATGGCCCTGCCTTGACCAGAAAGTTGGACTAGATGACCTCTTGAGGTTCACCCCTCCAGCCCTATTGTCCTATAATCCTATGATCTATGAGAGCCCTTTGCAGCTTTTTTGTAGGAGCCCTTTCCCCCATACTGGGATCAGTACATTCTTGGCCAACTGGCTACTCTCTTCCTCCACTCTTGTTATTTCATATTTGCCCATTTTGGCTCATTTGACAGAGTTTTTCTAAGAGGCTGGCACTCTATACCAACAGCACCGCAACAGATGCCACACTGTATTTGGCTAATTATTAGTGTGTACGTTATACTGAGTCACAGATTCCATGCCTTGTGCCAAACACAGATAAGAGAATAAGAACAGAAGAATACAAGCTAATGAGCATTTCTACTCAGTCACTACATTGACCACTAATGCTGCTGCATTTTACAATAGCATGGAGGCTGGCCCAGTTTGCCAAGTGCTTTCTGTTTTAGTTTTTTACTATTTAAACAAACGGTAAAGGCTTACCTGAGTGACAGCTCATGGTCCCCCAGATGATAGTATATTGTGCTGATTTTATAGAAGGCTTCAGTGTTGTCACTCCTCAGTTTGGTAGCAGCCTTTAAGTCATTAATGGCTTTGCCCAGTTCTCCTTCCTTCATATAGCATTCAGCTCGAAGCTCCCGCAGCTCAGCATCCCAAAGACAAACCTTAAGAAACCAAAATGAAAGCAGAGATGCTTATTATTAATGCACATCTTTTAGCAGAGAGATGGAAAACAAGCCTGTTATGAATCTAATGTGTAACCAAGCAGATGAGCCTTCTCAGGGAAGTGAACTAAAAAGAAGGGGGGGGGGGGGGTCAGTATTTCACCTCAGGAGAGAAGACTGGAATCCCATGAAAAATAACAGGTTCTTTCCAATACTGTAAAGGGTAAGAATTATGAGGGCAGAAGCCTCTGTTGTTTAAAAGGGTGCCTGAAGGGATCTCTAACAGGAACATCACCTATTGGAGGTCAGGCCTTAACACTATTGATAATGCAGATTTAAGCCCAAACAAATAACTATTTCAATTTTAAATGGGTTTCCAGACTATAAAACAAGTTATCCTACTATAATAAATATATTATCTATTCATGTTTACATGCATTAAAGGATTAGACTTCATTCTAAATAATTCTCCTTTTTTCCAAATTCCCATACTTCAACTGTCTTACAAGAACTTGTTAAAAAAAAAAATCAAGTGACTGAGCTTAATAGATCTACCTTCAATTACCACACATTTTTTCTCATTTGAACAGAGGACTTGGGAAGGCAGCATTTAACCCTTAATTGTTATACTGACAAAATTAAGAGCTTAGTGGGAGCATGAAGCCAGTAACATTTCCATTGAAAAGGATAAACCACCATAGTTCATCTATGATTGTTCAAAAATAGGATTTGGTAGAATATACAGTAGTTGAAGTTGCATTATTTTTATATATATATATATATA